CAATGGTAGCCCAAGGTAAGCTTATATGCGTTGATATTAAATGGTTTGGTATTTTCTAAGCAGACCTCATATTAAATGAAACATTCTTCTAAAGGATACATCATAAGCCATTCTTCTAGAAGGGAAAGAACTATGTCTGCACTGACAATGAGCATCCAAAAGAGAGGTATTTTAATTGGACTTGACATCTGGTGATTTTAATTGGACATGAAACCTAGAATTGTAATGAAATTTGGCACCTGCATTTTTTTTAATTTGGTAGACATCTGGCATTTTTAATTGAACGCGACATCTGGACTTATTAACCGGATGTCTGGGACTTTTAATAGGGCATGACATCTGTGCTTTTTCGTGTTGAACGTGACATCTGGGACTTTTAATTAGGCGTGATATCTATGATTTTTAATCGAACTTGACATCTTGAGCATTTTAATCGGATTTATCATTTGCTTTTTTTTTTATCGAAAGTGACATCTGGGCATTTTAATCAGACTTGATATCTGGACATTTTGAAATAGGTTTGAAATCTGAATTTTTTATGTGCCCTTGAAATCTGTGCTTTCCAATTGAGCTTTTGAGAATCCACAACGAACAAGGGAGAAAAATATATTCGGTTACGAAGTTGTCCAGATTATTTCTAAGATAAGTTCTTTAAAAACCCAAATGAGACAAAAACGGTTATGTTTCGCTAGTTCCCTTGCTGAAAAAGTATACGAACATTGGAAAGTCTGCATTCGGCCTCTGGTCATTATATATGTTCCGGAACAGCGATCCCACAGGCTGTTGGAAAATAATAATTTCATGGATCGGATAGCTACACAGGAGAGAAAACTTGTATTAAGACCTGTGCTTTAAAAAGCAAAAACATTAACTCTTTATTCTAAAATTACTAAGGAAACAGGCTTGCTAAAAGTTAGATTACAATCAATAGTTTTGCAATGTTTTCAGTTAAGTTTTTGTTAGTTTTTTTATTTCCTATCAAAAGTAATCTTGGCTTTGAAGCCAAAGAAATTCATGGTATCCTTACGAAACTCTGTCAACAAGAAAATGATGGCATACACTCAAATGTATGAGAATCTGAAGGAGTACTGCCCGAAATATATGGCGATTTTCTAAGCGCACCGTACATGTGGCACAAAGCCGTAAGTGTGGGGCGCCCAGTGAGGATTGAACTCACTACTCAGTTGTAAATGATCTAGCGGGACACGTTTGTTAAACATTACATCATGTCGAGGTGACCACAATGATTTTCTAAGCCTAATTTAGGCCGAAAGTGTGGGGCACTCAGTGATTATCGAACTCAATATTCTGTCGTAATTGATCTAGCGAAAGAAGCTCGTTAACTATTACATCACGACGAAGTACCCACACCGCCCGTAATATATGATTAGTGGGGTAAAACTTTGATTTCTTTGAATGTTCAAATTTTTAGTGGGTTATCCTGGAAACATGAAATCGAACATTATCAAACTACAAGGAAGGCTTTCCTCTATTGATCAAGGCGGATATTCTTTTTCTTCAGAGGCATACATTCATCAACTATTTGTCATTCCTATCAAAGGGATTATTTGATTGAAAATTCACTAAAGATTATTAATCATTTTTTTAATATTGCCTTGTCACAGAATACGTTGACCACCAATTAGTCATTGTTTTCATTTCATCAAAAAGGGTTTTCTAAAGAAACTAACTTCTCTTTTCATGTTTGGATATAAAGAAAAGCAGGCATTTTTTATGTGAATTTTACAAATATTCACTGTGATGTATATTTTGGGAGCTTATTAAATGCTTTTTAGATGGTATTCTTGTTTCTCGCATTGCTATTTTTCCCATATCATCTTTGTGTGAGGTTAGCCTGACACCTTTTTTCATATATCTAAACCAATGATTCTCAAAGTGGGGCGCATGCCCCACCTGTAGTGCATGGTAATATGATAGTGGAACATGCGTAGGATGTGCACCCTTCAGCTTGCTATACCAACGTGAGCTCAAATTTAATTTTGCATTAATATTTCATGATTAAAATGATCAAAGTATATTACAGAATAAGATTTCATTCAAATATTTTATATTTCTGCCTTTCAGTTCTCTATTATATGTTTTGAAACTATATATATATTTAACCGTCTTTTTTTTTTTTTTAATTTTTCTCTTTCATGCATGCCATTGTCTTTGGAGGTTTGCTTAGAGACCAAGTTAATGACCTTTTAAGCTTCCTTTATGTGAATTGCAGTAAAACTTTGAATATTTAAGAATTAAATATTATAGGGGGGCACCAGAATTTTAGAAATATCAAAGTGGCTCATGGCCCAAAAAAAGGTTGGGAACCAATGGCTTAGAGCAGGGGTCGGCAACTCATTCGACCCCGCGGGCCGGATCGTGTTATAATGACGGGTGGCGGCCCGGACGAAGGCCATTAATGAAAAATTAAGGAAAATTACATAAGCAGATCCCTGTGAACCTAAATATTTAAAACCATAATGAAAATAAACTTTGAGAAATCAGAAAAACAAAAGAAAATCTAAAATTAAAAAACACCTAACAAAAATTACTTTTCCTCAAGGAACGTCAAACTCAAAAATACTTCAAAGTTAAAAAAATCAACCGAAGTGAAATGCATGAAATTATGACGTGTAGGTTTGAAAATGTTATTGAAAATTGTTCCACAAACGAACCACACACACACACATCAAACAAAAACGAAGCACATATACCCATACATTCGAGTACAAGTAGTTGCAAACATATACACTTACGTACGTACACATGCGGTATTATCCACACATTCATGAGGCATGTATGTATAATGCGCGTATGTTTATCTGACTTTAGATTTCTGCTACCTCGCCTCTCAGTCCCTCACTGGCCTCTTTCACTTTATCGTTCCTTTCACTTCTGTTATCTTTTAATGTAGCCAAGGGTCATAACAAATATGTATCCATTATTTGACATTAAACGTAGGCAACGCAACTTGGTAAAATAAGTCTCATGAAAGATAATTGGCAGATATTCTAATTCGAAAGCATCGTCTCTCATGCTTAAAATAGAGTCATTGGTAATCAGGCTCGCGGGCCGGTCAAAATGCCTTCGCGGGCCGGATCCGGCCCGCGGGCCGTAGGTTGCCGGCCCTTGGCCTAGAGTAACCGACTGGTTTTTGTGATAACCGACTGCATTACCAGTAAAATCAAGATGTGCGAGTTTCAAAACAACCAACCACTCTGCAGAATTAGATGGCTTCATGGGTTCTTTTTATTTAGCGGCCTATCAATCCATATAGGTTATTTCGAAATTTATATATGAAAATACACACTTTATAATTAATTCAACATTATTTAAATTTATTTAGTATTTAGTATATTATAATTACTTAGCTGCAATAAATAGGGTTGAAAATTTCCAAGTTTTCATCTGAAATCAAAGTAAATACAGGAATCGGCCCGAAAACTGACATCATTTAAAATGTGAATTTCTGAGTCACTCCACGTTCCCCCCCGACCGCCGCCAGGTAAATGAAATGAAATTAAATAGGCTTCATGTTGAACAATAAAAATTTTTTTATATAAATTTCGAAGAAGATATTCAAAGGGATGTGGATTTTCTGACTGATTTCACAAAACTTCACAAAGGTTCAATAGGCGCACCACCTTTAACACGACACACGTCAAGTCGGCAGTCCAGCTTCTGACAAACACGCTATAGCATATACACAAACAAACACACACTTACACACACATATCATGGAGTATTGCTGCCATATATGGTCTGGGGTACCTTCCATTTACCTCGGAGCTCTTGACAAGATCCAGAGACGGATATGTAATATAATTGGCCCTGATCTGGCATCTCGTCTACAGTCACTCTCTCACAGACGCGCCGTCACCTCTCTTTGTCTTTTCTACAAATACTTTCATGGTAATTGCTCCGATGAGCTACTTTCACTGGTTCCCAGACTCCATGAATTCAAGCGCCCTACGAGGCTGGCATCCCGCTCCCCCTTACACTGTAGAAACTACTAAATGTAGCCGTCTCTTTTACTCCAATAGCTTCATACCTCGCACCTCTCGCCTGTGGAACACCCTTCCCTATTCCAGTTTCGCTGAGAGCTATAATCTCCAACTATTCAAATGTAATGTCAATCGACAACTCTAGTTACCTTGATCTATCCACTATCCCTCTCTTTATCCTTTCCTCTATCACTCCTATCTGTCCTCGCTCCAAATCTTCTGCAACCCCCTGCATCCTAGTAGCTTCACGCCTTGCTCGGGGCGTAATGCTTAAAAAAAATACACACACACACATATATATATATATATATATATATTTATAAACAAACAAGGAATTGTACCGCAAAATTTTATTATTGCCTTAAATAAAATCGATGCTAATCAGACAAATATGGGAAGGTGATATAAGGAATCTTTCGGCCAACCGTTCTTCACATAAAATCGTTGGCAAAATTATTATTAATTTTGGTAAAATAGCAAATTATGACCCAGAAACCAATTTAAAAAAGAAGCATCATTTCTGGCGTAAAAAAAAACCCTGAATAATCAAAAAACAGCATTAAAAAATTGCCGAAACCTACCATTTAGGAGATATTGACAATTTTATTTAGGTCTTATTCGTGCACTGGCCTCGATGGATGATTGAAAGGCTTTGTTTACGTACCTTGATTACTGCGTTCTGGTATCGAGGGAATATATGCAAATTATGACCTAGAAAGTAATTTAAAAAAGAAGCATGATTTCTGGTGTAAAAAAAATGAATATTCCAAAAATAGCATTAAAAATTTGCGGAAACATACCGTTTAGGACATATTGACAATCTTAGTGGAGTTTTATTTGCGTACGAGGTTAAGCCTTGTTTACGTGCATTGATTACTGTGCGCTGGTGTGGATCGAAGAGGCTAGGTAAGCAGTAATCGAAGAGCCCATCCCACAGTAATCGAGGAGCCCAGCCCGCAGTAATCGAGGATCCCCGCTCACAGCGAGGATCCCCGCTCACAGTAATCGAGGAGCCCAACTCGCAGTAATCGAGGAGCCCAGCACGCAGTAATCGAGGAGCCCAGCCCGCAGTAATCGAAGAGCCCAGCTCGCAGTAATTGAGGAGCCCAACTCGCAGTAATCGAGGAGCGCAGCCCGCAGTAATCGAGGAGCCCAGCCCGCAGTAATCGAAGAGCCCAGCTCGCAGTAATTGAGGAGCCCAACTCGCAGTAATCGAGGAGCCCAGCCCGCAGTAATCGAGGAGCCCAACCCGCAGGAAGAGCCCAGCTCACAGTAATCGAGGAGCCCAACTCGCAGTCGAATCGAAGAATCGAGGAGCCCAGCCCGCAGTAATTGAGGATCCCCGCTCACAGCCCCAACTCGCAGTAATCGAGGATCCCAGCCCGCAGTAATCGAGGAGCCCAACTCGCAGTAATCGAGGAGCCCAGCCCGCAGTAATCGAAGAGCCCAACCCGCAGTAATCGAGGAGCCCAGCCTGCAATAATCTAGTCCTGTAAGGGCTGCAGTGCTGTACTCTAGACGCTGCTAAGATTGCGATAGATTTCCGCAATTCTTTACTGCTATTTTCTTTTAATAATCAAGTTTTTTTTTTTACCAGGAATGATGCTCTTGATTAAAATTGGTCGTCATCTTCAAATCTTTTTGCGCAGTAACCAAGGCTAGTAATGTCGGACGGCCTGTAGCCGAGACACAACTAAGACCCAACTATGAACTTTTTAAGAACGACGAAAAACAATTTATGGGACTAAACCGAAGAACAAAACTGGCGCAGGATTAAAATATCAAATCGTAACAGTCAAAGTTGGTCAATCAATTCAATTAGTAAAGATAAAAACGAATAAAATTGATAAACAAAACTGAAAAGTGTAGCAGAAATAGATAGGGAGAGAGAAGGAAAAAAATAATGTTCTCCCAAAAGAAGGGAACGAACAAAACCGAGACCAACGAAAGAGAAGACCAGTTTTGTGACGTCACTATCTTCAGTCCTTAATTACTTTTCAGAATCACGGTTGTTTTTGTTAGTCACAGGACTTACACGCGTTTTAAATAAATTATCTATTTGGCTTTTTTGTTTCGTTTTTTAAAATTTTGAATCAATTTATAAAAAAAGGTAATGCCTTATAGATGTGTTGTACCTCATTTCAAAGGAAATTACATGTGTTTTCCTTTCCGGAAGATAAAACATTATCTAATATTTGTACGCGCTCAATCAAAGGAATGGATTTTACACCAAATAAATTTAGCAAGGTGAGTATTTTTTTGTATTGAGAGCAAGTTAATTTAATTGAAACTTAATTAAATTAATTTAATTGTAATTCACAATATATTAAGACAAAGTTACAACAGATCTAGCGAAGTTTTTAAAAGCTAAAAAGCCTAAATTTTTCTAAATAGACTTTAAATATATTTTCGATATATATAAACGAATATTTAAAAAAAATAATTTTTCAATAATTTTTAAAAATAATTTTAGAATAATTTTTTAAAATAATTCTAATAATTCTAAGAATTTTTAGAATTGTATTCTTAATAAAAAAAATTTATTTATTAATTTAATTTAAAAAAATGTTTAAACGTTAGAAATTCTGTTTCTTCGTTATTTTAAGAATGAAACCAATATTTTTTGGTATTTCATATTGCAAAAATATTTTAAAATAGCTTCGTCAGTAATAATTTTTTGTTGAATCAAATTATGTTCCTGAAAAATCTCAGAACACTTCATTAACGTATTGTAGATTTTGCTTACTATTTTATACTTTTTTACAAGAATTTAAAATAGGTTTGGTTTTAAAAATCTTTTTAGTTATGTGAACTACATTTTCGACCTGAATACATAAGGAGAGAATCATCAGCCTTTGACTTCATGATGGTGCCATCCCTAGAATTCTACCAAACTATTCCTCATATTTATCTTCAATGACAAGCACTTGAAAGTCACCAGATTCTAAAAGGATTCAACTGGAGTATTCTGCCCTTGAAAATGCTTTTAATCAAATTGAATCTGATGACTTAGCATACGAACAGCAGAATAAATTCCATAATATTAATGGTCTAGAAGGGGAATTAAATTTTCTTGATAGAAATTGCTGATGGTCTTGTTAAGCTGTAAGAGACACTTATATTCAGCATCATCAAATCCCCATATCCAAAAATCAATGTCTCTTGTAATTGAATCTGATTTTTGCAGTACATGTGTTTTGTAGAGATGTGGAAATGCATTCAATAGGGGACTGTAAGATTCCTAAACATGTAACTGATCAAAATACTCTTGAAGTTATGATAGCAAACATGAAGAACAGCAAACTGAACCTCAAAATATGACTTTTATATTAAAATTGATAATGCCATTTCTACTATTGGTGCAAGAAGAATCAAACAAATATTTTAATGCAATCAAATTTATATATGAGCAGCTAAATTTAATGACACAAAATAAGCTTGATTATTCAACAGAAATGATATTTTCTTCATTGTTATATAACTGCTCCCCTAAAGGGTACAGATTGTTAAGAGACAGCAAAAATATAATTTTACCTAGTTATTAAACCATTAAAAGACTAACATTATCAACATATATGAATTCTTTAATTGAGCAACATGATAACAATTTTCTTATGTATATTAAAAATAAATACGCTACAAGTGCAGAAGGACATCACAGTATCTTTACTTGTTGATGAAATTCATCTAAAACCTTATTTAGATTAGAAGGGTGCGAATATTGTTGGCTTATCTGACAACTGCAGTGAAGCTGCAACAAGTGCTTTTGCTTTCATGATTAGCAGTGTATTCTCACAATATAAAGATGTTGTGCATGTTATACCAACTAAATGTCTTAAAGCTGAGAAATTATTTGACAGAGTTAAATGTATAATAATTGGTTTAGAGGAGATAGGCTTTCAAGTATTATCAATTATAACAGATAATAATGCTATAAATAAAAAAGCTATATCTTTCTTTTGCAGTCCTCCAAAGCTTTCCATTGTATATCCACACTAAAGTTATAACGTCTTGACCACTTTTCTTCATTTTTGACTCAGTCCATATATCGAAATGCATTAGAAACAAGTGGCTTAGTAAAAAAGATGCAAATAAATGCATGCTGTTCCCAAACTTTTATCATAATAGAAATCATGAAATAGATAGCATCCAAAGTGCCACATTTTGTACTTTACAAAAACTTCATGCCCAGGAATCTCAGTCAATTTCGAAATAGTGTTATAAATTAAACTTAAAGTTATTTTCTCCTAATCTTGAAAGGCAAAATGTTAATTTAGTCTTGCAGATTTTTAATGAGTACATTATTCAGTAATTATTGATCTTAGCAAAACAGAAAAGTTTGACTAATTTTGCTGAAGTTTCAAAATATCTAAACATATTTTTTGCTTTGTGGATAATACTGAATGTAAATCCACCATATAAAGGTTGTCGGCTTCGAAATAAATATTGTAATCGACTTAGAGTAAATGAAGAAAATTTTAGATTTCTCTCTGTATTCTGTGACTGGTTAAACTCTTGGAATAACATTACTGGAAGAAATGTCAAATTAACAAAGGTAACTTTCACTGACTTGCATCATACAGCAATTTAAGAACTGATCAAGTATTGCATAGAAGGATTGAAAAATACCAGACATTACCTGGTAAACTTGAAATTGATCACCTCGCGGTAAATTTTGAGAGTACCGGAGACTTAGTGGGGATCTGTATAATATCTCAATACAGCAATGAGTGCGAAAAAAATTAGAATTCTATCAGATTTAGAATTGAGCTTACCACTTCAACAATATATTACAACTGATTTGAAGAATTTACAAGAACCAAACTGGGAGGAAGTAACAGACGAGCAAAAATAAAGATATGTATAAATTTAGAATTGATGTTAAAGAGGATGATGTTCCAAAATACAGAGAAATCCTTCCTATACTTAATGGGTCATTCTGTTATTCAGATTTAAAGAAAATTAAATGCATTAGTTTCAAAAATTTAATATCTGGAAGAGATAATGGGGATGGAAGAAATACTGAAAATAAACAGCTATTTTCAGGAGATTAACAGAGGTTCTCATTTAAAAAGAATCTGTAACATATTTTTCTATAATAATTTTTTTATTTTTAAATCTATTTACTGTTTGTATATAATTTATTTGCTTGTTTATATTTAATTTATTTGCTTCACACACACATACACACACACACACACACACACACACACACACATATATATATATATATATATATATATATATATATAAATTCAATTTAAATAGAAAACAGACAAACTTAAGGTTCCATTGGTTATTATTTATTTCTCCAGGTATATGGTTTTCACCTAGTTCAGCAGTCCACACTTCCAAGGGTGGAAAAATGTTTTAAATTTTATATATAATTTTTATATACTTTTGAGGGGTTGTTTTAAGTTGATGTAAGGTGATATAGAGAGAGGGGGAAGAGGAGTATGACAGATATGGTCGAAATAAGAGAGGGAAGCGAGAGATAGAAATAATTATAAATATATTTTTATTAAGATACTTAAGTATCTTAATAAAAATAGATTTTAAATCTATTTTTAATTATTTGTTGCTGATTGTAAATTTACAGAATATTTTTTACAATTAAAATTAAAACATCCAAGTTAAGTCAATGTTGATTAGTAGAAAAAAAGTTTCAAAATTTGAAACAATTAAAATAATGAACGAATTTTAGACTTTAAAAAAATTAATGAAATGTAACATGATGTTTGTTATGAATAATTAAGATTGGTCTCTCCTTGTTTTGTTACTCTCCTCTTCGAGAGAGCTATTTCTGCTTATTGGGACTATAAAAGGACACTATACACAAACCTTGTATTCTCAATTAAATAAAGCTTTCTTAAAGCCTACACCTGCATACTTTTGTTATTACAATGTTTAGTTTTGTATGCTTAAATAAACATGAGTAAATAAAACAAATAAACTTAAAAATTTGGCAAAAACACTGTCTCTCACTGACTTAAAAAAACATGACTTTTAACCAAAATTTCGAACGTGTTAGAAAGGTTTAAGAACTTATAAAAAAATAATTTAAAAAGTACTTTAGTCTTTCCTCTTAATAATAACATAAACATTTCGACGATAAAACTTTGCTTTTATTAAGCCTGGGGCCGTTTTTCATCATGCTAGACTGTTTTCTAGCAATAAAGTAGAGGATGTTTTTGTTTAGCCTATTCACTTTAACGCAACATTCAACAACAGCATTTTATTTTATCTTTTTTTTTAATGAATATTAAATAAAGGTCGGTATAAAATCCAATTCGGGTAATTTGCAGTGTAAGCCCCGCGCTCAGTTTGTAATAAAAAATATCCCGAATAGTTACATTTTGGTGTAAATTTACATGCTTAATTCGAAAATAACAAAGAAACTTTGCTAAAATATAACGTTTTGGATACTAACAGTTCGGACTTATTCGCTCAAGAGCCATTACTAGCGATGTTTGCGTCCATTTGCTCCGGACAGCCAATCGCGAAGCATCACTTGCCTTCATTATTGCGCATGCAATGCACAAACTTGATTATTTACAGAAATAAAAAAAATGCTAGAAAAGGAATTATTTATAACAAGAATTTTGGAGTTTTACAAAGCATGATTATTAAGTATCTTAAAATAAGATTTTATTAGCATTATAATTTGTTTTATTATTTATTTAATTATTATTTGTTTTACTATTTAATTTGTTTTATTATAAAAAAAAAACAACACATGCCATTGCTTTTCTAAATAACTTAAACAAATTTACCAAAAACCCTAATCTCACCCTTAATCTAACCCTGACTCCTGCGCAGTAATTGAGATAAGTAAGATCAGAAAAAGGACCGTTAACTAAGTAAGCTTCCGCGCATAAATACTCCGAAGTGAATGTATTTAAACAACGCCAGTAATTACCAAGGTGAATGGACGCGAATGAGTCCGAAATTTATTGTCGATAACACCAAAACGGTAGATTTTAGCAAAATTTCTTTGTTATTTTCCAATTAAGCATGTAAATCTACACCTAAATGTAATTATTCGGGAATTTTTTATTAAAAACTGAACGCGGGGCTTAAACTGCAAATTACCCTCCAATTCTGTTTCTTTTTTTTTAAATGCAATTTAAAAATTTTTCTCAAACTTTTTTTGGTTTACACTCATTGATTATCTACATTACACTATGATTACTACTTGTGTCGTTAGTCTCAGGGATTATCTTTGTGACGTGACAATCGAGCAGGCCCTCTTCTTTTAGTGGTCTTGACATAGCTCTCCTTTTGTTGACAAAGAGTGGGTTTTCTCAACTTGATAGTTACAGATTCAAGGATCTTGATTAAATCATCAGTTTTGTTCTTTCATTTAGATCTCATAAATTGTTTCTGTCATTCCTTGTGAACTTTGATGTTAAGGTATTCCAGATTTATTCTTTAATGTCACATGTGATTAGCAATTAGGCTGATACACACGTCATTATAATTAGTTTTGAATGAGTGCGTGTTCAAGTGGTTAGCAAGTTCCCTCTCCGGCCATAAAACCCGGATTTAAATCTCACTGTGGTCGATTTGTCAGGAAGTTAATTTCTGGATGTTATTAACCTCGCGTGGTGAGGCGATCCCAGCGGGTGGTACCATTGGAAAATACAAGAAAACCATGCCACGGGCTGACCCAAGCCTTGTAAGATTTTGTGGAATTTTTCATCGATGGCTAGCACTAGCACTAAGTCAAAAGTCATTGTGACCGAGGATTTGAAGGCACTGCCCTTATTCAAGCTTTTGATCACGCCAGATTAAGTGCTCTCCCCGAGAAACTGTAATTAATGGCCTCTCAGCCTAGTTGCAGTATAAACAGCAGGAACTGGAGAGCAGTCCTCACAGACCTGTATGCAGGAAATCAAACGCCCGGTCGTTATTACTATAACAGGTTCCCCAAAACGTAAATTACTTATGACTTAAAATAACATGCTCTCTCCTCGTCTGCACACAAAAGCGCTGCTGTGCGAGCACGCGCGTGCGCACACACACACACGCACACACACGCACACACACAAACACAGATATATAGATAGTGTATGTGAATATATTTACAATTTAATTTTCTAATTTATTTTTTAATCTAATCTCCTTTTTTTTATAAATTCATTTTTTACCAATATTTTCCGAAGTAAATGAACTGTGTTGTTTTGTTAACAGTCGGTTATAAATATTGACATATTACGACGGCTTTCAATTTGGTCCTAACGTTTGGTGTGAACCTGAAACTCGGCATTTTATCAAACGGTGAGGTACAAATGTATATTTATATAGATAGATAGATAGATAGATAGATAGATAGATAGATAGATAGATAGATATGCATGTATTTACACAGGTAGATAGATATGACTTTTCTCGGATATGAACAGAGTGAGATAGATAGAAATATAGATATGAATTTATTCTGATAGATATGAACAGAGTGAGATAGATTGATCGATAGATAGATATGAATTTACTCAGATATATAGATAGATAGATAGATAAGAACAGTGTGAGATAAATAACCAGATATGAATTTACTCAGATAAGAACAGAGTAAAATAGATAAATGTATATGAATTAACTCAGATAATAGCAGTGTGAGATAAATTGATCGATAGATAGATATGAATTTAGTCAGATAGATAGACTGATAAGAACAGAGTGAGATAGATAAATAGATATGATTTTATTCAGATAAATAAGAACAGACATAGAGATAGACTAATAGAGAGATAGATAAGAACAGACTAAGATAGATAGATACATAGATAGATAGATAATGAACATACTCAGATATATATATATATATATATATATATATATATATATATATATATATATATATACCCGAGAGAGAAATATATATCATTGGATCAATAATTTTTTTAATTATGTAAATGTAAATTTTTTTTTTTTACTTTTAATAGTAGTATAAATTTCAAATCAATCACTTGATCTCTCAGACGTACATTGCATTCGATTACCTTCAGTGTTAATACGAGATTGCTATGTATTATATTCATTCAGAAGCAGTTTAAACATTTGAAAGCTAAAATACCCGTGTGATATTTCTGTCCATAATTTTTCTTTCTATTTAGGCCAGGTATGATCAAGTGTACCAATTATTCCTGTCCTTGCTTTTTCTTTTCTAGGTTGTCTGTTTTTACATTTGTGCTGTCATAAATGTTTACATCCCAATACTTCATTTCACAGACACAGACCGAACGTGGCATTCATGATGGCGGTACTGCTAATGTGAATAAAGTAACGGTTAGAAAAATCGTAAAAAGAATTCGGAGGGCCGAGTTCGAGCACAGGCCGGGTGTGCTACGTTTAATTTCGTACAGATACACTTCTGAAATGTTTGGCGATTATGTAAACGTAGCTTAGGTGTGTGTTACAAGGTCGAATTTCTGTGGCGTCAAGTGAGGATTGAACTCACTTTTCAATCATAATTGCTAAACATTACACCAGGTCAAAGTGCCCCACTTAGGAAATCTATGCATTTATCCCTTTTCCGCAGGTCGGGTTGGATTACGTTTGACTTGAGGTGAAAATCAGTCAAGGAGAAGGAAAACTTCTTTCCTTGAGTGGCAACCAGTCAAGGAGAAAGAAAATCTCCAGCCTTGAGGTGGCAATCAGTCAAATAAAAGGAAAACTTCTTGCCTTAACGTGGCAATTATTCAAGAAGGAAATTTTTTTGCCTTGATGTGGCAATTAGACAAGGAGAACGAATACTTTTGGCTTTGAGGTAACAACCGGTCATGGAGTAATAAACCTCTTGACTTGAGGTGGCAACCACTCAAGGTGAAGGCAAACTTCTTGTCTTAAGTTTGCAATTAGTCTAAGGAGGAGGAAATCTTCTGGCCTTGAGGTGACGACCTGTCAAGGAGAAGGAAATCTTCTTGCCTTGAGTTGACGATTAATCACAGAGAAAGAAAACTTCTGGCCTTGCGATGGATATCAGTGAAAAAGAAGGAAAACATCTTGCTTTGTAGCAATCAGTCAAGAACAAATATTTCCTGGCTTGTGTGGCAACTAGTCATGGTTAATGTAAACTTCTGACCTTGTTTTTGCAACCAATCAAAGAGAAGGAAACTTCTTGCCTTGAGACCACAATCAGTCAAGGTGAAAGATATCTTGTTGTGGCAACCAGTCAAGGAGAAGTAAATCTTCTTGCCTTGAGGTGTCAATCATTTACTGGGAAAGAAAACTGCATTCCTTGGGTGCAAATAGTCAAGGATAAGGAAAACACTGAATTCAAAACCTGTTTGAAGATGGATTGGTTTGATCTATCTACACCATTGCTACTATGGCTACATAACCTCATAATCTTGACATCCTATCTCCTCCTCCTCATACGTATGTAATATAAACCTCATTCAGTATCCCACTATCTTGAATTTCTCCTGTGCTTTTATTGGGTGGAAAATATCGTAGTAAGTTGAATGATAGGAAAATGCATCTAGAATAAGTTTATCGTCTCTTGAATTCTGGTGTTCAGAAATTGATTCCTTATTTCACCACTATGAATTTACTAAACGCCCAGATGAGTACCGACTCCCGGTCTTCAGATTCGTATTAGAATGTATTTGTTCAACCATTTAGCTGAACTTGGGGCGACATGCAGATTCAGTCTCTCAGTGTAACCTGGCATAATTGTTCGATTTTTTTCCCTGTTTCTTAAAACGCCTTTGTTTCTTATATGATCCATTTATGATATTCTCAGCATCCTTCTGTTACTTGAATTCTCTTCTTCATCTTTAAGTATTAGGTCAAGATGAGATGCAACAAGTTATGAATGAATCATTATTTCACCGATAGAAGGATCAATATAATGACTTTGTTACACGTAAAATGTGCCAATCTGGAGGGGCATTTTTTTTGGCAAACGTATGTTGTTGGGGAGGTGTCCGTGCGCAATATATTGGGTTAAACTTCTTCTTCTTCTTCTTCTTCGTTTCAATTCAGGATGTTGGCTATAATGGCTCTCCACAATTTCCTGACGTTGGTAAGTTCTTATTAATAACTTTTGTCTTTTGGCCATCTTTCCCAAACCTTGTTCCGCCATCCTTTCCCACAATCCCACCAGGTAGGGTGTGTGTTGCTCTCCTCTCCTTTCTCTTATCTTTAATCTGTCCTGTGAGTATAATATTTTCCAAGCCCTGTTTCCTCATTATGTACCCCAGAAATTTCAGTTATTCCTGATCTTAAGCATAGGTGTTCTTTTTGATGTCATTGTCTCTAGACCTTCGTCGTTGCTCACGTGTTCGGTCCATGGTATTCTCAGCATTTTTCTGTAGAACCACATTTTTTGTTGCTTCAAGTTGTGCATAGATTTCCCAGTATCCACTGCCATGTAAGAGGACTGATACTACATGCCAGTTTAGTACTCTTTTCATTTTTTTCTAACAATATTTCTCTGTTTCTTAATACTTTGCTTAGCTTTTAGAAGGCTTCTTTCGCTATCCCAATGCGTCTTCGGATTTCCGTATCGCACTGTTAATACACCAGACACTGTAAAAGGAATGAGAACAACCTACACCTGTAGATTAAATAAAGTGTTTTGTTTGAAATTCACCGATGATTATTAGGATCGACAGACATCGTAATAAATCCGGTAGGCAAAAAAACTGAAGCGTTGTAATAACAGCAAACAGAAGACCTTAACCCGCGTGGAATAATATAAATACTGATAATTACTTATCCAACGACAGACAGTTGCTTTAAATGCCACATCAGATTAGCACATTTTATGCATAACAAACCCGTCACTTATTACTTAAGTAATTATTATTTATTATTAAACCATCTGTTACTGAAATTAGAATTCATTCATAACTTGTCGCATCTGATCTCTAATTTTAGCTGATCTTCTTCTAAGTGTTGTTTCCCTTCAGGGCGTAGGCGATCATGGCTCTCCACAATTTCCTGTCCTCCGTAGCTCTTAATAAATTTGTCTTTTTCTTATCACGGTTAAACCTTGTTCCGCCATCTTCACTAGGTAGGTTATGCGTTGTTTTCCTCTGTCACTCTCGCCTTCAAACTATCCTGTGATTATCAGATTTTCCAAGCCCTCTCTCCTCGTTAGGTACCCTAGAAATTTCAACTGATGTTAAATATAAGTGTCCATTTTGTTTTCATGCCATATAAAATTTCGTCACATGTTCGGTTCCTGATATTCTCAGCACCATTCTGAAGAATCACATTTCTGTTGCTTCAAGTCTCTTCTTCATCTTTGAGGAGATTGTCCAACATTCACCGCCATATAGGTGGGCTGGTATCCCGTAACTGATACTTGAAATATATTGTCAGGTTATACTGCGAGAACAGTTAACTTCAGTTAAATGGTCGAATACATACACTCTAATACCAATCTGAAGGTCGTCAATCTGCAGTCTTCCAGGCGGCTACAAAGTTTAGTAATTATCCATACATTGCATGATATAGGACTACCTGTCTTAGTGCACCGGTTATAGGGTTAGTTTGGTAAACACATGAGAGATTTTTTCTCTCCAATCAATCTACTAAAAATACGACAATGTGCCAAACTTGGCGTTGTCTAAGTAAATTCTTCAAAAACTGACTCAATTCTTCTTTCTGGCTACCGATTATCCATTCTATTTAAGTCAGATTGTTACTTACGGACTTAGAAAAAGTCAGATGAACTTTTGTTTTGTTTACGTCAAATTGATTTACCTGTTTCCGGTTATATTTGATTTAAATCTTTTCTTCCATTCTGATTTTTTTTCTTTCTTTTTATATTATTATTATTATTATTATTATTATTATTATTATTATTATTATTGCGTTTGTTTCATTTTCTTATTCTTTCTTTCTTTGTCTACTGCAACATTGATCTACATTTCTTTTTTTCTACATCTCATAAACACGGCCTTTCTTTCTTTCTTTTTTCTGCATATCCATCACTTGTACTGTTTTTCTTTCATTTTTGTGCATATCCATTGGCAATACTTTACTTCTTTCTTTCTTTTCTTTTCTTTCTTTTTTCTTTCTTTTTTCTTCATATCCATTAGCCATACTTTCTTTATTTCTTCTTTTTCTTTTTTCTTTTTTCTTCATATGCCATCAGTCAAAACTTTCTTTTTTTCGCATATCTATCGGCTATATTTTCTTTCTTTCTTTCTTTCTTTCTTTCTTTCTTTCTTTCTTTCTTTCTTTCTCATATCCATCGCTTGTACTGTTTTTCTTTCTTTTTTGTGCATATCCATTGGCCATACTTTCTTTGTTTTTTTGTTTGTTTGTTTGTTTGTTTGTTTGTTTGTTTGTTTGTTTGTTTGTTTGTTTGTTTGTTTCTTTCTTTCTTTCTTTCTTTCTTTCTCTTCATATCCATCAGCCATACTTTACTTATTTCTTCTTTCCTTCTTTTTTCTTTTTTCTTCATATCCATCGGTCAAAACTTTCTTTTTTCCGCATATCTGTCGGTCATATTTTCTTTCTTTCTTTCTTTCTTTCTTTCTTTCTTTCTTTCTTTCTTTCTTGTCAACTGTTGTCATTAATTTTACGAAGGCAATCTACAGTTTCGCGAAGCTCGCATACAAATCTTTCGAAATCATTTCTACAGTTCAATACGAAAATGTCATCCACTTGAATATCGGTGTTTCAGTCGAAATATGAAAATAGAATTAAAAGAAAGAGACACGTGACACAAACTGACAAGACCACGTGATCAGATACTGGCCACGTGATCAAGAAGAACCTGACATGAACAGATGTGCTGACGGCAATGCCAAGCGGACGTACAACTTTTAGGTTTGATTTTTTTTTTTTGATGCCTTCGGAATTTAGCTTCTGAGTTCAAGAAGATGGAAAGGAAAAAAATGAATAGAAAATGTTAATATAGTCAACGAGAATAATAAAAAAAATGAATGAGTGTGAAAAATAAATGCAGAAGGAAAATGAAATAAGCATAGAGAGGATAGAATGGTAGGTATTAGCACTATTTAGGAAGGAAGGAAGGGAAGGGAAGGAAGGAAGGAAGGAAGGAAGGAAGGAAGGAAGGAAGGAAGGAAGGAAGGAAGGAAGGGAAGGAAGGAAGGAAGGAAGGAAGGAAGGAAGGAAGGAAGGAAGGAAGAGGGAAATGACAGAGGAGAAAATGAATAAAAAGAATATAAAATGAAAGAAAAGAAAAATAAATAAAGAAGAAATTAAGAAATCACCTGACAAAGAAAAAAAAAGAATGAATAAGCAAGTAAAAAAAAGAGAAAAGATAAAAAGAAAAAAGTGAAGGTAAATCGAAAGAAAATGGGCGAAATAGAAGCAAACATGAAGTGGGGATGTAAATAAGAAGAAAAAAATGAAGGAAGGAATAATAGAAGAATGAAGAGAGAGAGAGAGAGAGAGAAGAGAGAGGATAATGAAAGAAAATATAATAAAATGAAAGAAAAAAAGAACAGAGACAAATATGGCATTAGTGAACAAAAACAAGAAAGAAAGAAAGAAAGAAAGAAAGACAAGCAGAAAAAAGAAAGAAAGAAAGAAAGAAAGAAAGAAAGGGGAGGAGAAAATAAATAAATAAATAAATAAAGGAAGAAAGAAAGAAAGAAAGAAAGCAAGAAAGGGAAGCAGAAAAGAAAGAAAGAAAGAAAGAAAGAAAGAAAGGGAGGAGAAAATAAATAAATAAACAAAGAAAGAAAGAAAGAAAGAAAAAAAGAGGAGTAAATAGTGCGGTGAAAGAGAAAGAAATTGAAGACCAAAAAAGTAAGTATGATGCAGAAGACATTGACATTTTCTGTCAGTATCTATTCTTTTTGAAAATAGGCGAATTTAATTTTCCCGCCCGAGAAACGAACTCTCGTACAACCTATTACTTCTAATTAGAACATATTTATGTCTTTCGCCAGTAAATGTGATTTTGACCACACCTCATAAAGAACATTCTGTTATTTCAAAATTGTAGTATCCATGAGAAAAGACACATTGTGCGGGGGGGCATGTTGCTACAACCAACGTTAACATTGGTGGCCTTATGCCACTTTCAAGGCGAACTAAGCGTCGTTGATTCCATAAATTCGCTTATGATGACCAGGATGGTCGTAGTTGCAAATCGTCAGTCGATGCGGAAGAATAGAATGCAGAAAGAAATGTTTGGGTTTGATGACTAAGTTTTGATCATGTAACAATCTGATATTTTGCACAAATCGACATAATTTCTAAAAGCTAAGGGTTAATAAACCATAAAAAATTGTTAGAAGTAAAAGAGTAATAATATATATCCATCTATATGTCAGTGAGTGTTGCATAATTTCCTCATAAATGAAGAGAAAATTTGAGGTGACAGATATGTGGTTCTACAGAAGGATGCTGAGAATACCATCAGCTGAACACGTGAGCAACTAGGAAGTTTTAAGAAAACTGAATACAAAAAGGACACATATACTTAGAATCAGAAAGAGACATTTCCAGGACACATAATGAGAAAAGAGGGACTGGAGAATTTGACACTCACAGGGCGTATTGAAGGCAAGAGGAAAACAGCGATTAATGTATATAAGGAAATGTCAGAACAGGGATAGCGAGGAATAGTGAAAAGACAAACCTTATTATGAGCTGCAAATGATAAGAAATTGTGGAGAGCCATGATCGGCCACGCCCTGAAGGGACAGGGCACATAGAAGAAGTAGTCAGTCATAATGAAATATTTATTGTAAGAATTCAAAAAAAAAATCAGTTCTGTTGTGGCGAGTACGAAATAATAATAACTCCTTTCAAATTCGGGAGGGCTGAGAAAAAAAAAAGAAAAGGAATTTCCGAACTGATGTGAAATTTTTTTTGAACCAATGAAAACCTTGCCTTCACAGAGTTTGACCGACGAGCTGAGAAAAGACGGAAATAAATTTGTGATCCTATGTGAAATTGCTTTTGGACCAATGAAAACTTCGCCTTCACAGAGATTGGCCGGCGAGCTTAGAAAAGACGGACATAAATTTGTGAGTCTTGACGGAAATTAACCGTTCACCGAAGAAAAAAGAAAGAAAATAGCGAGCCTATGCGAAATGCTTTCTTTTTATATAAAATGAAGAACATTAAATTAACAAGTGAAGAGTATCTGAAGTCATGTAAAAAGTTTTGTTTCTGTTCACGCATCCAGAGTTTAAATTTTCGCCAGTGTAAAATTACTCGCTAATTATATTATCGGCCTTACCCAAGCTCTTAGCTCTACAAAGACATTTATTTCAACAATCAAAGAAAGCTAAGTATTTCAGACTATCTCTCTTCGTCTACTTTTGAATGTATGCAACCATATATTCATTCTGGGAACAACAAACTCTCTTAACTTTGTCTTAAACATCTTTTCTTCATGACAATTCGTTAAAATTACGGACTTTAAAAATTTCTGATTTATTTTTCTGAAACGAGTTACTGACATTAATTCAAGTGTATAAATGCATAAATAAATTTCTTGTCTTGTTTTAAAATTATCCGTCTCTTTCCTCGCCATTACCACCCTTCATTAATCTTCTTGGCGTGGGTAAATCAACTGTTCATTTTAACGTCACATTTGGGATTATATATTTTATATTCGGTTCATTTTCTCTAAGCATTTTTATCTATTCTCTGCATTAATTCTTGCTGGATATCATGGCCGGACATTTGCCCGAGACACGTTTGTCCGAGAGACGTTTAGCCGACGGACATTTGGCCGACGGATATTTCAGCGAAAGAGTACAAGTAAAAATAGTAACAAGCAATACTTTAATTATTTACCTAGCATTATTATAAGGTAGAATAGGACTAATAATTACCACTGAATTTCAAGTGACTAAATTACTAAATCTAAATTTAAAGTTAAAAGGTTTCTTATTTCAATATTTGTTTATTGAAATTAGTATTTTTTTAAAATTATTTAAGTGTATTTGGGTAAAAAGTAGCACCTAAGTATTTAAATTCGTATTTAACAGTAAGATAAAAGCTAGTTCATCCCTTTAAGATAATGATCTTTAAAAACGAAATTGAAAGATCTTTCATATCGTAAAAGCTTAAGATTTTTGCTGTATTAAAATGTGCTTTTTCTCAAAATACTTATCATCTTACAGTAATATTTGAAGTAAAATATAATATATACAGAAGAGATTTTTAAAAAAGCCTATCAAAAAAGCGAAAAATTATAAATTAATAGATTAAAAAAAATATAAAAATATGTAGCACATTACGATAAAGAGTGTGACATACATTTAAGTACGCCATTATATTTTCGGCTAAATGACCATTCGGCTAAATGTCCGTCGGCCAAATGTCCGTTGGGTTATATGTCCATTCGGTTAAATGTCCGTCGGTCCAATGTCCGAGTACCCTAGATATCTTGTGGGCACCAGCTTATTTATAGAGACAATACAACAAAGACACGTTCGTCTCGCAGTTAACAAATGTGCTTTTTATAAAGCAAGGCCAGATAAAATTCATGCAAAAAGAGGGCAACTCTATAATAACTGGGTGTGTTTCAGCAACCCTTCCTCAGTCTCTTAATTCCAATTTATTTTCAGGTCTTAATGGTCTTCATGTCCATTTTTGTAAAGCGGTCTTTTATTTAATGTAATTTATTTTTTCCGTTTATGCATGACTTCAATTGTGTTTATTCACTGTTGACACCATGATTCGTGCGTGGACATCAATTCCATCATAGAAACAAAACCAAAAACTAAGAAACGTCCGTCTTAGTTAAAAACTTTATGAATTGAGTTACTTTAAAAAAGCATGGGCAGATAATAAACACTTGACTCTGTCATAACCGGATATGCTTCAGTATCATGAACGGTATTACTGTTTATAACATGCACCCTTTCAAGATGGCTTTTTTAAAATAGTTTCACCCCAAGCAAGGTGGTAATGCCGCTAAGATGTCAGGGGTTACTGAAAGTGAAAGAAAAAGAAAATTCGTTAGTGAGGAGAAAGGACAATAAAAGAACAGGTTTCAGGAAGACAGAAGATGGCGATAATGCCACTAAAACACAAGGGATTATTGGAAGTGAAAGAGAATCAGAAAACTTTACTGAAGAGAAAGGACAATAAAAGAACAAGTTTGAAGAAGACAAAAGATGGCGATTGTCATTGCATTTAATTTTTTGAAGATTGTAGGTAGCAGGAAAGCAAAAAACCGGAAGAGAGTTCCACAGGAAAGAAGTGCGAGAAAAGGAACTATTAGAATGAAACTTATGGTTACATCTAGCTGGTTCAACAGTTAAACGATGAGACCTAATTGCCAAACAAGACCTGCGCTTAAATTCATGCAGTCGAGGTAAAAAGGATGAAAGTTCATTAGAGCAATTGCCATGAAAAGACAGAGGGAGGTCACGTCACATCGGTGGGGAAGTAACTGATGTCGAGATGCCAGGTTAAGACCAAGCTCATTACGGATTCTTCTTTGGATTTTGCTGAGAATATCAAGGAAACTTGAAGGCGTATATGAATAAAGAAATATACTTTGCAGAAATTAAGAAAATTATTAACAAAATTGGGGAATTACAAACAAATGAAAAGAGGATATTTATTTGGTAAAAAAATACAAAATTGTGACGAAACAAATGAAAAGAATGTCGAATTACAATGCCACATGACAATTTTCTGTATGGCAGCAAATGTTGGACAATTTTTTCCCAGATGAAGAAACCGGAAGTGTCTTTTTTTTCTTGCAGATGCTGAAAATACAAAGAAATGAATATGCGAGCAACGAGGAAGTTTCTAAGAAACTGGAAAGGAATTAAGCAACTAGAAGAACAAATAAATATAAAATCAGGAAGAGTTTGTTGAAATTTCGAGTATTAGATCATTGCAAAAGTTTGTGCTCGATTAGAAAATTAAAAAAAATTACATACTCCCAAAAAGTCTATCGTCTTCATTGTTTTTGACAAATGTCTCCCATCATTCTTCAAGCTTATTCATGCCGTTTTCATAGGAAATTTGTGCTTTTTGTTGGAAGAATTTTGTAAGGTTTTTTTCGACTGACTGTACAGATTCAATTTTTTCTCATTTAAATTGTTCTGTAGAGAATAGAACAAATGGAAATCTGAAGGAGCCAAGTCAGAAGAACATGGTAAGTGCTGCAGGATTACCTATTTCAACTCTTTAAGCTTCTGCGAGGGTCTCTGCATTGCAACATACGGCCTTGCGTTGTCCTGGTGGAAAATGACACCTTTTCGATTTTTCTTGAATAGTCGTTTTGAGATTAGTGAGTTGGTTGCAATACTTATTTGCGGTTATTGTTTTGCCGGCTGGAAGAATCTCAAAGGACATCAACACATTCATTAGTTGCAAGTCCGCTTTAACCATGTTTTCTGTACATTCACAAGTTATTTTCCAGATCCGTTTGCGTCGGACGTTATCATAAGCGATTCATTCTTCATCGCCTGTGACAATTCTGTCCAAAAATGGCTCTTTTTCGTTGCGTAACAACAGCAAAGAAATCGAAACAAAAATCCCAGTCAAGCTCGTTCTGTTTGGTCAGAGAATGTCGCTCACTCGTTTCGAGTTTGGAAACGAACCCACGTCTCTTCAATTGGCGAAAGGCGGGTGGGATATCGATTTTCAAACTCTTAAGAATCTCTTCCGTCGAAATAAATCCTCCATGATCCAGATAAACCTGAATTTTTTTTTTTTTTGTCGCAGATCCGACGCTTACTCCTTTCCAAAATTCATGGAACATAATATGGTGAAAGTGTAATTTTTCCTTCTCCATCTTTAAGGCATTCATTTGTCGACAAAACATTTACATTCAGCAATGTATGACTTGCAACTGAACGATTCAAGATTTCAAATTGGAACACACTTGAAATTGGTACCAAGACATATAACATTAACAATATATATTATCTAAATATTCATAAAAAATTTGAAAATAAATTTCTACTTAAAATGTAATGTAAAATAATTTATTTTACTTAAAAAAAAATATTTAAAAATTGTTTAATATATATGAGTCAAAATAAAAATAAAAAATACACATAATTTATATTTAAAATTTTATATATAAAATATAAAAAATTTATGAATATATTATAAGATTATTTAACATAATATATATTATATTTAATATAAATGTTTTATAAAAACATTTAAAATCATACATTATGATGAATATGTTCTATATACATTTTTATATCATATATACATGATTTTTCATCTTAAAAAATTATAAATTATAATTATAAATTATTTTATATAAATTATAAATTATATCTATCTCATTCTGTTCATATCTATTGTTCTTGTTCATTATCTATCTATCGATCTATCTATCTATCTCAGTCAGTTCATATCTATTGTAATTGTTCATTATCTATCTATCTATCTATCTATCTATCTATCTATCTATCTATCTATCTATCTCAGTCAGTTCATATCGATTGTACGTGTTCATTATCTATCTATTTATCTATCTGACATCTTATTCACATCTATTGTTCATGTTCATTATTTATCAACACTCAGAAATACACATGCATGAATTCTCTGTCCCTCCCTCTGTCTCTCACTCTTTCCCTCTCAAACACACACAAGCACACACACACACACATAAACATATATATGTATGTATTTATGTAAGTGGGTGATATATTTGAGAAAGTATAATTTGTACGCATAAAAAATGTATTAATATAAAATACGCAATGCTATAATTTATGTTGCAGACATATTTAGAGCCACGCCTTTATATATTATAGAAAGGCTGGGTAGGAGAGTTATTTTAAAAGAAAAACTATTCGTATCCGTGAAGGATTATGTGGCGTATAAAATCTCAGACATATTTTTGTTTTTAAGATGGCGTCCGCTACATTCGTGCTACACAAATATGAAGACGTAAGCTTCCATAGAACTATCCGGAAAATTTTTACTGATACTTGACCTCATTATTCTTGTTATTACATAACATCATCTGCAACAATCAAATCAACTCTCGAAAGTTAACCGTCCTGGGTAGGACGATAAACTACATCCGGCAGCAAGGCCTTTCATTAGGATGCTTTGAGGAGTGTGGATCGATCTCTTAGTTGCTGGTGTTCCCAGATCCACACTGACCCTAGGTTGTACCACCTGTCAAGATTACAGTTACTTCCCTCTCCCCACAAAACGCGTCGACACTATTAAAGTGTAAAAAATAGGTTTTAACACCAGCAATACTTTTTTGGAAAAATTTCCAGCAGTACATTTTTGAAAATGAAAAATACCAGCAATGCATTTTTTGAAAGAATATTACCAGCAGTAAAAATCTTGTCGGCATTAAATAAGCCATTGAGGTTGATATGTCGTAAACCAAACCAAACGAATTCAATCGATCTTAACCAGTTCAAGTGTCAATCATCATCTCTCTGTTTTTATTATCACTTCCTACCGCCATATTTTTCATTCATATCAAACAGTTGATTCTTCTTTGTTGTAAATATTGACCATCAGAAATTCTCTCGGATTGTATTAGATGAATTCTAATATTAAAAAAATTATCCGAATCGGGTCGATAAACTTTCTGCACCTTCTCATATAAAGAAAATGTATATTTTTATTATAAATTCGCGGAAGGCTAAATTTTGTCCAGAATTTTCCAGACCCTTGGCGTCATTATTTTTGTTATTTTCACAACATCATCTGCAACAATCAAACCAATGCCCGAAAGTCAGCCGTTCTACATCAGACAACAATGTCTTTCATCAGAAGGCTTTGAGGAGCGTGGAACCACCTCTTAGTTGCTGGTGTTTCCATGTGCACCCTTATCATCTGTCACGGTACCAGCTATAGTTATGAATCTCCCAGATTTGAATCAATCCCAGTGCTAAAGTACCTTTTAAGAGAATAAAAAATTGAAATAAACAAAATTGATGACTCTCCAACTCTCGCTGAAAAAAAACTGTGTAAAACAATCCGTAGCAAATATCAAAGCTGAGCAAGCCTGTGTATAAAATATCAAGTCGACATTGTCTCACGTGATATCTGAGTATTGATCAAACCAACCGTAATAGCTTCGGTCGGGTAGAGACATTTGCAACACATTTTTTTCTTGTTTTAAAATATTGATGGACACTAACTGAAATTGGTAGCTGTCACTTGCAATTCAGATCGTTGCAGTTTCTCGACAAGGAGTGTTAAAAATAAACACGAAGAATAAACGAATTCTGAGCACATTTAAAGAAGGTATGTCCGTTATAGGAGCAGAAAATTGCATAAGCCAACCCACTGTGAATATCAAGGCAGAATGGATTTCTTTCGTTTGTCAGGAAAAAAATGATTAGAGAGAGAAGCCTCTAGGTGAAATATGAACTCGCTAAGATACTCTGAGGGTTAGCGAAATTATAGGATGCGATAAGTAAATTTGCCACTGATGAGTTATAAGCCATAGTCAAAATGCAAGATAAATCAGGCGAAAAGAATTAATAAAGATTACAATGAAAAGAAAAAAATGGTCAAAAAGATGAAACAGTAAGAATCATGCAAGCAAACAATGTTAAAGGAAATCAAAATTGATAAGAAGGCAAAAGAATTCACAAACTAGGAGTTGGTGTCTGTACACAAAAGGAAGTTTGCACAAGTGAATGCAGTATGTCTGTCTAGTAGATAAGGCAGATCTGGACTGAGGTTATTTACCTTGAAGAATGTGGCAGAAGGCCGTTTTTATGTGGGGCCATCCCAAGCCTATAGGCTTGGGCAAAAATTCAACCGTTGCCCCGACATACACGGGGTCAGGCTTGTCTACCTCCCCAGACGTAATTTTGCCCTTCGGTATAGCCTCGTGTGGGTTCCTCTCTGCCCAAAAGCAGACAGTTCGACAAGTCAGCTCGAACCGCCTGAATCAGCAAATCGGGACTGAGTCATGTCAAAACGCAAGCCGTCCCATTTTAATGGCTAAGAAAAATATCCTAGCATGCATTTTGTGTCCTTCTGACTATAAGAGGAGGCGAGAACGTTTGCAATCATTTGCAATACCCCCTTAGTGTTGGTGCTTTTTTATGTTTGTTTTTTGTTTTTGGACTAAGAATTTGTCGCATTTTTTCGTATTGTTCAGTGCTGTTTATTATTGCCATTTATTCCTTGCGTCTTCCTCCTTTTTTTCCGTGCCGTGAATTTTTTTTTGTCTGTACTGGGGAGGGAACCACTCCACTATGACGCAGCCCTACCCCCAGAAAAAGTGCCAATGGCCACGTAACCATCGACATCTGCAGAGGCGCCTGAAAGACCAAAAAAAGGGCCAAGCTACTACAAGGGCTTAATAGATCAATGCAGTGCATTCATCTCAGGCCATGAACTTTTACCCATGCCTTCGGTTATGGAGGCAGTGGCAGCAAGGTCTATCTCCCTGTTGACTGCTGACATCAAGTCGAGAAAATTTATGGCCGTCAGCAGAGAGGCCTTGAACATTTGGGTCAAAGGTGTTGGCCTGCACATCCATTGCTATGTGGGACATCCTGCTGGCATCCGAAGTGGCTGCTAAAACATTAGCCAGGAGTGTCCTCACCGCCAAACAGAGTCCAAACAGAATACATGGGCACCCGAAAGACCCGGAATACTTTACACGGGGTGCCTATGAACATCACTGAGGACCATTTGTGGGCCTATTCTCGGATTGTGGTCTGATGGAGGGATGTTCGCCATCAAAAGTAAGTCAGGCATTGCCACCAGTGATTTTGAAGTCATGGTGACATTGACCCATTCCAAGTTTAATGATGTCTCAAATGGGATAGCTTGCTGGATCGAAACATTTTTGTTGTTGTGGAGGGCTGCTGCTTGGGTTGTGGCACCGCCAGTTACCTGGCAAAGTTGTGTCCCACTAAGAATCCGACACCACAGGCTCAACCAGCACAAGAGCAACCCAGGGTCGAAGAACCAAAGAAGGTCCCCACTGGTCATGGCGAATTAATCCAGGTCGTGAGGAGTGGATTCAAGGCAATAACTCCGCTTTCCCAGCAGGATGTCCTATGTAAAGGAGCTGCTAAGACTGGGCAGAAGCAGACAAAGTAGCAGCAGCGCCTAAAACAGCAGCAGCAACAAGAAAAACAACAAGAACAACAACTACAGCAGCAGCCTAAGCGGCAGCAGCAGCAGCAGGAGCGTCAGCAGTGGCAGGAACAGACGCAGCAGCAGCCGAAGAAGTTGCAGAACATGCAGAAGCTGCCGGAGCAACAACCGGGGCATGAGATCCTTTAACAACAGCAGCAGCCTGATCAGCATCTGGAGGTGTTAACACAATTAAACCTCTACATGGAGGTAGAGCAAATGCCCCCCCCCACTTTACTTTAAAAAGCGAGGGACGAAGAGGGAGAGGAAGACGCAAAGTATACCAAGAGGGAGAGGAGAACTGGTCGACGTAGTGCAGAGAAAGCCGTTGTAGCTACCAAGATCCAATCTGCTCCTGCTTCACCAACAAGTAGTGAACCTTACAAGGTAAGACAAGGAGCCTCCCTTCCTCCTCTTGTAGGGCTCAATCTTCCCCAACCAATCCCAAAGAAAGAAAAAGAGACGTTTCCCCCAAGTATAAAAATTTTTGCAGACCGTGGGCCCAGGAGAGGGATCTTTTCTCTCAGAGGAAGGCCTTTCTTGAGGCTTCTATTTAAATGTACCTCCGTTAACTTACCTAAGAAATTTTCCGAATGCCCACAGTGTAATCACTCTCATTAGGAACACCGTGGGTAACCTTAAGGTTTGGGACTTCCCCAAGTTCCGAACGGCTCAGATAGAGTAAACGGAGATCAAAAGAATGAGACAGTATTGCTCTGAGAATGTCCTGGTTTTACTCCACCCGGATCTATATAGGACTCTAAAACTTACCTTTCCACAGACATCGGCGGCATTGTCTCAGAAGGACAAATTACGTCCGATATTGGCACCGGTAGTCTGGGACAATTCGTCGGTGTCTTGACATATTTCTGTCTATTAAGTTAGCCAGCTTGAATGTGAGGGGCCTGAGAGATCAGAGTAAGGCGGCCCGTCTTCTTTGTGATCTCTTGACCTTTGGCGTAGATGTGGCTGCGATCAAGGAGACACACTATTTGCGAGGTTTATGCTCGTGTGCTGTCTAGCGACTTTGTTACCTATTCAGCAAAAGGGGACCAGCTAACCAGATGCGTTTCCTTGGTAGTAAAACGTCCCCTGGGTACTAAGGTAGAACCTGACCATGTCGACGATGGGAGTGGGGTGGATGGGAGTGGGGTGGATGATCGTGGCATATACTGCCGTGAACACTAGATCATTTCGGGTCGTTGCGGTTTGTACGCCCAAAGCCTGGTGTGGGAAGGCATGTCGACGTTTTCCGTCAGTTAGGACCATTCCTGGTTGATCCGTCGCGTTTAGTCTTAATGAGGGACTGGAATAGACAGGGGTCGGGAAGCTATCGGGCGATCGTAGT